AACCTTCCCCACCCACTGTGACTCACTCAGCACGGAAATCCATGTTGCTTCATACCCTGACCCCCATTTCTCACTCTGAAAACCACCTCTAGTAAGCTTAACCACAAAACATTTATAATCTGACAAACACCATATTCTCTTACCTCTGGGCCTTTGCGTGTGCTGTTCCCTGTGCCTGGAATGCTCTCGCTCACCTGCCTCCTAAGTCTTTCCTCTTCATCCTTGGGATCTCAGCTCGGAGGTCATTTCCTTTAAGAAGCCTTGACTCTCACTGCAGATTAGAGGTCCTGCTTCCAGGTTTCCCTAGCATTTCCAGCTCCTTTTAATGCCGAGTTTCTTCCTCCGAGCTCAGAAGACTGTGCTGGTAACGACGGTGCTCCCAGCACCCGGAACACGTGGGTGCTTGGGAATGGACTCGTCTGTAGGTTTGTTTTCTCTTTGTTTGTGTGACTGTGTCACTGAGCCAATCTCTCTGGCAGGAACCCGGGAGAGAGTCTTCTGTATGTTTTGAAACTATTCAAAACCCACAATCTGTTAGATTATGAAAATAGCAATTCTTCTGTATAGGGATAAAAATCACAGGATGCATTTGTTGTAAGAACATGTTTTTACTCACTGAGCCTGGTGAGAATAAGCACAGGACTGCTCCACCTGAATGAGGGCACAGCGCGAATCTCCCAGTACCCTGTTTACCACCCAAAAGGTTAAATAATTTCTTTCCATGAAGATTTTTCTAAAATTAATTCTCTACCTTTAAAATTTTTTCTTTATTGGTTTTAGAGAGAGGGAAAGGAAAAGGGGGAGAGAGATAGAAACATAATGAGAGAGAACACCGCCCCCTGCACGCCCCCCACTGGGGATCCGGCCCACAACCTGGGCATGTGTCCTGACCGGGAGTGGAACTGGTGACCTCTTGGTGCATGGGTCGACGCTCAACCACTGAGCCACACCAGCCGGGCTTTTCCCCCCTCTGTTAACAAAACTCAGTAAACAGGAATTTCATACTTTTCTAACAGTGCTCTGGATCAGATTTAGTTTTTTCTCGATGCCTGATGGATGTGAATGAGTGAATGAATGAGTGAATGAATGGAATGAGTGAATGAATGAATGAATGAATGAATGAATGAGTGGCTCTTGGTTGTCACTGTGTAACTGCAGGGTGCTGAGGGAGCAGAACTCTTTGTTCTTTCACTGAGTAGCCTCCGACTGTAATTTTGAGCGTGTGTGAGTCTGTGTGTGTGTGTCTGTGTGTGAGGGTTTCTAGTTTCCTCCTTGCTTGCGCTCTTTCTCCTAGCAGTGGGCCTATCCAGCGCTTGCTTCACCTTAATGCTGTTTTCATCTGCTGTGGCTGGGAACATGATCATCAGAGCTGCTCATGTTTTTTGTTTTTGTTTCTAAAAATTTTTTTTTCTTTATTGATTTTTAGAGAGAGGAAGGGAGAGAGAGATAGAAACATCAATGAGAGAGAACATCAGTTGGCCGCCTCCTGCATGCCCCCCACTGGGCATGTGCCCTGACCTGGAATTGAACCGGTGACCTCCTGATGCATGATCGATGCTCAACCACTGAGCAACACCAGCCGGGCACTGCTTACATTTTTTTGCCTTTATCTTCAAATAGAGCAGGAGGGGGAGAGAGAGAGACAAACATCCACATGAGAGAGACACATGGAGTGGTTGCCACCCACACGACCCCAACCAGGGCCGGGGACAAGCTGCAACCGAGGTATGTGCCCTTAGTGGGAACCGAACCTAAGACTCTCCGGTCCGCGGGCTGACCCTCCAACCACTGAGCCAAACCGACCACGGCGCTGCTTACGTTTTAAAAGTATGGTATAAGCAGATCTTCCAGGTCTTTGCTGTGAGCAGGGTATGTGAAGATTTTCTGTATGAGCTCTGCCTTCTTTTAGGCTGATCTGAGCCCTCTTGACACTTTCTCCCTGTGTACCAGCCCTCTGCTGGTTACAGCACCAGGTACACGGCCTATGAGAGGTGAGTCACTGTAGGAAGAGGAGCTGGTGATGGATGGGAGGGTCTGTACCTGTAATATCCACCAAAGGGCTTACGAGGGGCACTTGCCTGTCATCTGACGGGGGAGGGGAGAGGACGGTCATGGGCTAGGCGTGAGCACTGTGGCCAGGGAAAAATTTTAGTGAGGTTGGCTGATTGGAGGCTTTTAATACTCATATGGGCATTTCCTTTTCTTTTTATCAAAACTCAACTTGTGACTGATCATCAGCTCAGCATTAATAGAGGAGTGAGTCGGTGTGGTGATTGTATGTATTAATGACTGTGGATTGGGCCAAAGTGAAAGGCCTCAAGCGAAAAAAACCTTATAAAAGTCAGATTTTTTCCATTTCAGACATTGAGGAAGTTGTACACTTATCCGTAAGGAGAAGGGTTTGGCCGTAGTAGATGGATCTGCAACACCCAACCTTATTAAGCGTATTCTTAAGGGTGGAGTCTGGATGGTCCACAGGGACCCTGTGGTCTGGCTCCCACCCTCCTTTAGGCTGGGAGATGGCAAGGAGGGTGCGGTTTAGGGAGTGAATGTCCAGCCCCCATCTGAGGCTCAGCCATCATGTCCTCACCTCAGGACAGCTTGTTCTTAGCTACTTCTCATTTGAGCGGTCTTAGGACAAGGTCACCTGTTACTCCGTATACACCTTACACCCAAGGACCCGAAATGAACCATAGCACTAATCCTTGGGACACGAGTTTGTTTCTTTTCATCCCAGGGGTTGTTGGTGATACTTTGGGCCATTTTAGCACAGTGCAGGGGGGTGTGGGCAAGTCTTTTAAGAAGGCGATGCCTGCCCTGGCCGGTTTGGCTCAGCGGTTGGAGCGTCGGCCTGCGGTACAGAGAGACCCGGGTTTGGTTCCCACTAAGGGCACGTACCTCGGTTGCAGTTTGTCCCCAGCCCTCGTTGGTCGTGCGGGTGGCAGCCACTAGATGTGTCCCTTCACATCGATATTTCTCTCTCTCTCTCTTCCTCTCTCTCCCTCCCGCTCTATCTGAACAAAAAATGGAAAAATGTCCTCGGGTGAGGATAAGGAAAAAAAAAAAAAGAAGGCGATGCCGTTTCTGGCACATTCCTTCTCCCAAATAAAACACGATACGATGAGAAAGCTCAAAAACTGTAGATTTTTTTTTTTTTTTTTTTTTTTACCTGAAACCCACTCTGCGCATCAGCTAGGCCAGCTGTCTCTGCTTCAGAGATGTGGAAACTGAGGCCCGGGGGACAGACAGCTCATTGGGGTCGTACTGCTGCTGGTAACCAAGCCAGGTCCAGAGCCCCAGGATTCTGAGTCTTTATTTAAGTGGTTGGGACTCATAAACACATGAAGAGGCATAATCAAAGAGACAGTATAAAATGACGGATATGATTTTTTGGCCTGATTGGCAAAGCCAAGAAGGAGCAGTGTGGCAGTGCCGGTCTGGGTCTGGGGAGAGAGGGCTGATCGTATATTAGTTGTGAGGGTGAAATGGTAACCCCTGTCTGCCAGGCAAAGCTTAAAGGACGAATTTTTCCTAAAGAAGTAAATAAGGTCTGCATCAAAAACTAGTCACTTTGCCCTGGCCGCTTTGGCTCAGCGGTTAGAGTGTCGGCCCACAGACCAAAGAATCTTGGGTTTGATTCTGGTCGAGGGCACGTTCCTCACTTGTGGTTTGGTCCCCAGCCCTGGTTGTGGTCATGGAAGAAGCAACCGATCGATGTGTCCCTCTCACATCAATGTTTTTCTCTCTCTCTCCCACTCACTGTCTGAAAATAAAATGGAAAAATATCCTCGGGTGAGGGTTAAAAATAAAAAAATTAGCCACTTTGCCCAGTCAGTGTGGCTCAGTGGATTGAGCGTCGTCCCATGGGTACCCAGTTCGATTCCTGGCACATGCATGGGTTGCAGGCTGGATCCCCAGTGGGGGGCGTGCAGGAGGCAGCTGATCCATGTTCCACTCTCACAGTGATGTTTCTCTCCCTAATTCTCTCCAAAAATTAATTTAAAAAATATTTTTAGCCCTGGCCAGTTTGGGTCAGCGGTTAGAGCGTCGGCCTGCGGTCCGGAGAGACCCGGGTTCGGTTCCCGCTAAGGGCATGTACCTCGGTTGCAGTTTGTCCCCGGCCCTGGTCGGTCGTGTGGGTGGCAGCCACTCGATGTGTCCCTTTCACATCGATGTTTCTCTCTCTCTCTCTGTTCCTCTCTCTCCCTCCCACTCTACCTGAACAAAAAATAGAAAAATGTCCTCAGGTGAGGATAAAAAAATATATATATTTTTAAAACAAGAATTGCTCTTCTCCTAAGAAACACAAACAAAGAACTAGCCACTAAGCTGTTGTTCAGCATCATTTAGATTAAAACATTGAAGAGTTGAGCCTCTGGAAGGGGGTTGGTTGAGTAAGTTTGTGGCCTTACAAAGTAAATATGAGACCATCACAAGTGACATCCATGTGTGGTCTGGGGTGTTCTTTGGAACACACCAGCCAAACATTGAAACTGAGAAACGGGGAGGAGGAGGGAGGGGGAGGAGGTGCAGAATGTTGATAACCTGAAGCTGGATGATGAGTCCGGGGCTTGTTGTCTGTCTGAAATTTTGTACCATGAAAAGGTAAAGTTTTATGCAGTCATATTTTAGAGTAGATTCAGTATTTCCTGCGGAGATGACTCTCTGCCATTGGGCTTTGCTTCCCACGTACACTAAAAAGAGATGCTGGTGTTGCAGTTTGTTGATGATCATGGGAAGGTATTTATGATGTATTGGAATGGAAGAAGACCACAAAGAGTTATGTGCAGGATTCTCATTTGGTTTAAATAATATACAAACCCATAACGTAGAGAACAGACGGCGTGTGTACACCCAAGTCGAAATTACTGGATAGAGAAATGATTTTTTTTTTTTTTTTTTAGCTTATCTGATTTTTTCCTCCTTCGACAGACTGTATATTGCTGGTGAGACTTTATGAACAGATGAGCCTAATTAAATCCGTTGCTCTTTTGATTTAGGAAAGAGCATGGAGGAAATCAAGAAGGTGCTGCTGCTGGTCCTGGGCTGCGCTGTCCAGGTAGGGCTGGGGCAGGGGTGGAGGGAGCCTGCTCTTAGCATCTTGTGTTTGGATCTGTGGGGAGCAAACTCCCTCTTAGTGAGTTAGGAGTGAAGCTGCCTTCAGCCCAACACGACACATCCTTGGGTTCCTGAGAGAAGTGACCACTCATTAGGTGGCCGTTGTTTCTAGTACCAGGGCACCTTTGGCAAGAAGTGGGTGGGGTTTGCTCACCCCAGGGTGCCATTATTCAATTGTCCCAGTATAAGGACACCTAGAGCAAAGATCAGAAACTACATACGGCCTGGGGCCCAACCTGACCCACCACCTGTTTTTGTGACTCAGCTTTCGTGGGAACAGAGCCCCACTCCCTTGTCAGGTCCTCTCTGGCTGTGTCACACCACAGTGGCAGAGCGGAGGCTAACCGGATTTGTACCGTCCGGCCCTTCGAAGATGCAGTTTACCACCCCGGCTAAAACCAGCTATTCTTGGTCTTGTTAAGAATCACCCGGAGAGCTTGGTTTCACCCCCAGTGTTTTCAACCTGATGGGCTTTTCAGAAACAAGCACTTCAGGTGATTCCAGTGTAGGTGGTCGGAGCAACTTCCAGAGAAACCTCAGTCTAAGGGACAGTTGGGAGGACAGATTCTTGGTTATAAAGGAGGAAGCCAGGGGCTGGGCGGACAGTTCATTCGGAAATGATCTCTGTGGCTGGTGGGCCCCGGCTGCCCCTCTCTCAGAACGCTTCCATTAACACGCGTCACGCTCCGCAGTGCGAGAGGAAGGTGGAGTTTATTGACAGAATCCAGCAGCTGGACATCGAGACCCAAGCCGGGATCGTGGCTCATATCCAGGAGGTAGGTGTGTGGGCGGCCTTGTGGGGCCTAGCTGTGGACCTCACTCCCGTGGCAGTCAGGAGGCAGGCTCCCCCACTCGGGAAGAGTCGGAAGACTTCATCACCCAGTAGTGACTTGACGGAGTTCAGATTTCCACCACCACAGAAACACCGAACTTGTCTGGCAGGCAGTCATCAGCGAGCCAAATAAAATGGGGGTAAAAATAAAAACTATATTAAAAAATAAACACCTCAATCAAGTCGTCTTTTGCCCCCTCTCCTTGCCTAATATGGACTCAGGCTATTTTAAAGTACTGTCAAGTGGTTTGGGCTCAGAATTGATTTATAGGCTCTGAAAATGTATTCTGGCAAATGTCACCCTGCTCCAAATGGTTGCTCCTCGTGGAGAGTCTCCGTTTCCGTCAGTGACATGGCAGAGAAACAGGCTGCCACCCCCTGGGACGTCCCAGGAGGGCTGTCGCTGTAGACCCGGCCCCGGGGTGCAGCCGGGAGGGCTCTGCGCTGAGAGCAGCCCTCTGCCATCGGCCTTGGCAGAGGGGGGGACGTCGGAGAACCTGTGGGGCAAGCACCTACCTGAAAATGTATTTCCCCGATGTCCTCCTCCACCCTCCCTCCCGAAGAAGCGTTGTGAGTTTTAATTATCAGAGGGGATGTGGTTCAGCCTTCAGTCTGATTGGACGTGTGAGATAAAGGCATGAAAAGACGTGAGTAGGAGCACATAGGGGCAGGTGTGTGACTGGCAGGGGCAGCCGAACACAGAGCTCCCCACGCCCGTGCCGGCGGGCTGGGCTGACGGGTCCCGGGCCTCCAGGCACCACGCGTGGTGGGTTCTGAGTCAGCGGTGGAGCAGGGATGGGTGCAGCTTGTCGTAAATACACTTAGCCAGTCGTGTAGGTGAGTGGCCACCGGTGAGCCTGAGAACCGTTCTGCCTTTTCATTTCCCTTGCGTGGCCACGTGTTTTGAAAATGTATGTATCTGGGGACTAGGTCCTCTGCCACTCAGCTGTCTTTCCTGCTCAGCCGCAGGAAATGTGTAATGAAAGGGGGGCGGAGTGCAGCCCAGAGAGTCCTGAGAGATTATAAAAATCAGGGCTGGCAGCGGGGACTGGGCTTCAGAATCATTTGGGTGCTTCGCAAACATTCAGGTGCCCAGGCCCCACAAGAGACCCACCGAGTCAGAATTGGGGGAGGGGCAACATGAGCCTTTCATTAAAAGCTGCTTGTGTGGCTCATGTGCAACTGGGGTTGTGTCCCAGAGTCCCCTTGACAGACATAAAAGGCCTTTCCCAAGCCCCGGTGTGGAGCAGGCCTGGCGCCCGCCTCTGCGTCCCGGCTCTGCCGTTAGGGCGCCGCACGGGCTGAGGTTTCTCCTGGTTCCCCGAGATCAACTCCCAGCTTTTCCTCTGTGAGGTGGGGAGAGGTAGGAAGTGGGTGTCATTTGAGAAATTAAAAGGCCCTGTTTTTTTGTTGTTGTTAATGTTTTTCTGGGCTTTGAGGTGTGTGTGTGTTTAAATGTATTCTCTGTGGAAAGTGTAAGACCTTTCCTGGTGTGCCTCACAGTGGACTTCGTTTGTGTTCCCTCGGGAGGCCTGGGTGCACCGATGCTCCTCCCAGACTGAGGAGGCGAGGACTTGAAGCTCACCCTCTGCCTCCTGGCTGGTGGGGGGTCGGGCTAGAAGGTGAGGCGGGCAGTCGGCGAGGCTGCCCGCTGAGGACGTGGTCCTGTGTGGCCAGTGGGGGCGCGATACGGGCTTCCCTGAAAGTTATCTTAGATTATGAAATATTCCCCGAAAAATTACCTAAGATTATGTACCTAACCTTCTGATATAAGCATGTTAATATTTTGCCATAGTCGTGTTAGCTTTCAGTTGAAGAAATAAGATGCTATTCCCGCCCTCACCTTCCCACTCCCAAGGCATACCTTCTCTGTGATAAATTGATGGTGCTCCACTAAAATATCTGAGGGCCGTTCAGGGAACTCCTGCCTTGGAAGAAGTGTGCTCCAGTGTGCACGTCGGTGTCGGCTTTGAACCGGTGCTGGGAGAAGGGGTTTGACTAGGAAGGCTCGGCTGCAGAGTGCGGCTGTGCTAAGGAGCCCGTGCCCGCCAGAGCCTTCGTCCGTGAGGGGTTAATAATGCCCATGAGATGGGCCAGCTGCCGGGGAGTCGGCTGGGCCCCACCCACGGCTTGGCCATGGGAGGTGGGTGCCCCCCCCCCCCCCCCCCCGCAATCCGAAGCTGCTCTCTGCCCGGCCTCTGTAGCACTGAACCCATGTGTGCCCTCAGGTGACCCACAACCAGGAGAACGTGTTCGACCTACAGTTGTTGGAGGTCCCAGACGTGGCCCCGGAAGAGCTGGAGGCCCTGTCAAGGAACATGGTGTTTCACCTCCGGAGGCTCATAGATGAGAGAGATGAACGCATGGAGGTGTGTTTGCAGGTGGCCCAGCAGCCTGCGGGACAGGTCAGGGAGGGACCCGGGCCTGGGGCCCTAGTTATGGGCCACTCTCCTGGTCCTGGCTCTTCCTCTCAAGCCTGCACACCCCTCCCCACCCCCCAGTCCTCCTGGTCCAGTTTCCATGGGGGGTAGGACACGGGCACTTCTCATACAGGGAACAGTCACCTCTGAGACACCTGTGTGAGGACAGACATTGAGCTTGGGGACCCTGCTCCATTCACATGCCCCTTTCTGTGACACTAAACATATCATCTCTTTTTTTATTTCAATTTTTATTAATTTATTTTTGTTACAGATATTTCTCCTCTTTACCCCCTAGACACCCTCCTCCCCATTCCGCCCCCAACCCCCAGAGCATTGTTGTCTGTGTCTATTGGTTACACATACGTGCATATAATTCTTCTGTTAACCTCATTCCCCCCACCCCCCACACCCTCCTTTGAGGTTTGTATTCCTTTCTATGATCGCTTTTTTTTGTTGTTAATCCTCACCTGAGTCTATTTTTCCATTGATTTTTTTAATCCTCACTTGAGGATATTTTTCTGTTTATCTTTAGATAGAGTAGGAGGGAGAGAAAGGGAGAGAGAGAGAGAGAGAAAACATCGATGTGAGAGGGATACATAGACTGGTTGCCTCCAGCACGACCCCACCAGAGCTGGGGACGAAGGCAACCGAAGTGCCCTTGGCTGGAATTGAACCTGAGACTCATTGGTCCGCAGGCTGATGCTCTACCACTGAGCCAAACCAGCCAGGGCATTTCCATTGATTTATAGAGAGAGTGGAAGGGAGGGAGGGAAAGAGAGAGAGAGAGGGGGGGGGGGACATCGATGTGAGGGAGACCTATTGATTGGTTGCCTCCTGCACAATCCCAACCAGGGCCAGGGATCGAACCTGCAGCCCTTGACTGGGAATCAAACCCAAGACCCTCAGTCCAAAGACTGACACTGTAACCTCTGAGCCAAACTGGCTAGGGCATATCATCATTTTTTAAAAACTAATACCACCTTTCTCCTGCCTCCCTCCAAAACAGCGGTTTTGCAGTTTCTGCTGACATCTTTTTTTTTTTTAATTTTTTATCCTCGCCGGAGGACATTTTTGCATCCATCCTCAGATAGAGTGGGAGGGAGAGAGGGAGGAAGAGAGAGAAACATCAACGTGAGAGAGAAACATCAATGTGAGAGAGACACATCGACTGGTTGCCACCCGCACGACCCCAACAGGGGCCAGGGACAAACTGCAACCAAGGTATGTGCCCCTAGTGGGAACTGAACCCAGGCCTCTCTGGTCTGTGGACCGACACTCCAACTGCTGAGCCAAACTGGCCAGGGCGACATCTTTTCTTTTACTTCCATCTTCTGGCCATTTTTCACTGAGTTCGAGTGCGGGCCTTGTGCCAGGCACAGGAGCAGGCTGGTGAGACCCCTTTCTCTGCCCGCTGCAGGATTGTGGAGCGGGACTCCCTCCAGGCCCAGCAGCTGCCCAGCCCAGTGCAGTCCTCCAGCACCGAGCCCACACCCAGCCCACCCAGCAGCCACTCCAGCGAGGAGAAGGAGCACCTGGCTACAGAGCTGGCGATCACCAAGGCCAAGCTGTGTCTTGTCATGCGGGAGCTGTGAGTGCTCCAGTGACCCCCTATTTTCTGCTCTGCTGCCATGTGTCACCAACACACTTCTAGCACCTGAGGGTCACTGCCATGTGGTACTACGAACAGGAGAGCTCTGACTTGGGCCCGGAGTCTCTGAACTCTGCTCTGAGCCCGGTTTGACCATGGACTAGTCCACTTCCTCCCCGGGCTGCACAGGAGGGGTTCTGCTGGTTCTCTAGGGCTCCTGCCCCTGCAGACATTGCAGTCTTCCCAACGCAGCCTGCTGTTCACCCTCAGGCCCAGTGGGGGCTTCAATGGCCACACGCAGGTGTGTGTGGTGTTGGCTGGAGGGAGGATGTCTCACCCTGTCTGGTCAGCCTGTTCCCCCTTTTCTGATGCTGGTGATGTCCCTTTGCCAGCCATCTCAGGAGCTGTCCCCCCATTACCCACCAACAGTGGGCCTCACACCTGCCTGGCTGTGGAGTGGCACATGCTCCTGGGGTCTGCTTACCTGCCCCACACCCTCAGAGGAAACTGTGTCTGCTGGGTGTAGTCTGAGAGCAGGCATTGAAAACTCAAAATGACATTGGAGTCGGGGGTGTTTTTGCTAACCCCACACGTAGACTCCCCTCCTCATCCCCAGAAGCCAGGTCCCCGTCCCTCCCGCTGGGGTCCCCCCTGTGGTCCCCCAAGGGGGGTTTCAGGTGCTTCTGAGGAAGCCCTCACCACGCATCCTCTGAATCCCCCAGGGAGGAGAAGACCGCGCAGCTTGCGGACACCAGGCACGAGATGGATCAGCTGCTGCTGGATCTGCAGATGATGAAGCAGGAGGTGAGCGGGAGGCCCGTCCTAGGTGGAGGGGTGGGGGGCTAGGATGCCCCAGTGACCGTGGCCCCACGTCCAGGAAGCTAACTGCAGGACCGCAGGACCTGCCAACAGAGGCCTGTTTTCTTCCCACTCCAAGCAGCGCTACCGGAGAGCCAGTTGTCCTGAGTGCTGCTGCGAGGATGTCATGTTTTGGTGACAGGGTAGGGCCGCCACCAGTGGCCTGCACACAGTTGCTTGGCCACCTGGGACTGCAGGGACTTGGCCCTCTTTTCTCCTCCCCGGAGGGTGCCTGAGCCCGGTCCCTGCCTTTGCCCACCTCCCAGAACATCCAGCTGGCAGTGGAGGCCCGGTGTGCTAATGCCTTCCGCGATCAGCTGGACTTTCTAAAGAAGAAGGCGAAACGAGCAGACCAGCTGGAGATGGAGCTGGTGCGCTGCAAGGACGAGCTGGGCAACCTGGACTTCTACAAGGCCGGCATGGAGGTGAGCCGGGCCTTCTGTCCCGACACGGAGAGGGGCCCCGAGGCTTCTCCAGCTGACCCTTCTCTGCCCCAGCCTCTCTGCACGACCCCGAGGGCCTCTCTTCTAGTGGAAGGAATATGGTTGCAGGACCCTGATTCCTTTTAGGATTTTCCCTTTTCCTACTTCATGCCACAGTGATGACCTTCTGTTCGTAAATCTTTTTTGGTCAGTCCTCACCAAAGGATATTTTTTCCATTGATCTTTAGAGAGAGTGTGAGGGAGGGAGGAGAGAGAGAGAGAGAAACAAACATCGACGTGGAGAGACACATTGTTTGGTTCCCTCCCAAACACACCCTGACCAGGGCCTGGGGATTGAACCTGTGACACTGGTACGTGCCCTTGACCGGAATCGAACCCTCAACTGTTTGGTCCGTGGGATGACACTCTAACCACTGAACCAAACCGGCCAGGGCATATTCACAAATATTTTTATTAAAGACCTTTTGCGATTTCTGTGGCTAAATCTTGCCAGGACTGTTTCCTCGTCTGTAAAATAGACATAATTATACCAGTTCTTGAGGTTTTACAGTGAAGGAGGTAAAACACCTGGTATTTGGGCGAGTCCCATGTTCAGCTCTCAGTGGTGTAGCCTAATCTGATACCAAGTTATGGGTCCGTTCGGGGGAGGGTGTCAGGGCTAAGTGGGGATGGAGACCAAGACCCAGGCAGGGTTACCGACACTTTGGCCACTCACCCCGACTGCCTCACATCCACAACAGGTTCCGGACCCTCTTTTGTCCGAGGATTTGGGAGTTTAGCCCTTGTTGCCGATTCCACAGTTAGAGGCTGTTTAGTGAGCGCGGTGAAATCAGGATGTCAGATCCTGCCGAATGCATCTGCTTAGTGGGAAGAAATCATCCCTATTGCCAGCCAGGAAGCTTTGAGGGGATGGACACGGGTCTGTGGAGCATGGCTGTCCCTCTCCCTGCCCAGCTGCTGGCAGGCAGGTGTGCTAGAGGCAGCTGTCTGGGCTTGCTCTCCTGCTGCAGACAGGCCCTGGGGTCCCTGGGCCAGGCAGAGGTGGGTTGGGGATGGCTGTGGGCCAGGCCTGATTTTCCTCTGATGTACTCAGGGCTTGTCTGTGCCTCTAGGAATGTAAGTGACACACGTGCCCTGCCCCCTCTGGGGAAGGCACCCCAGGCAGGGGTAGGTGTGGGAGACCAGCTCTCGGCTTTGTCCTAGAAATGGTGCACGGTCCCTGCTGGTGATGAAAGGCATGAATCTGCAGCACAGACACATCACCTACTAGAAGTGTCACAGTTGGGAGATCGGGGACAGTCATGCACAGACTCCCTCCAATCGCTGCCTCTGCAGCCCCTTCTGCACTCTGGGGACCTTACGCAGCCCCCACATCTCACCCTGACACTCTGTTCCCGTGGACGGGATGGATTTCAGGGCTCAGTCTCTGTCTCTGTGCTTTTTCCTGGCCTTTCCAAGCGGCCGTGCTCAGTCCTGCGGCCGCAGCGAGTTAATGCCCTGCGGTGCCAAGCCCTGCTCCGGGAGCAGGGGACCTAACACAAAACAGGACTTGCTCCCTGCATTCGGTGAGCTTCCGGGCTTTGCGAGGGTTTCCCATGGGAACCCCTTTTTCATGTTTTCAAGTTGCATGCCTGTGGATAATAACAGCAATATTTTTCATGTTGATGAATACTTTTACTGTGAAACAGTAATGCCTGAAATGTTACATTACTTTAATGAATTACAAGAGAAGCAGCGTGGTCCGTGGAGTCCAGGCCGTGACAGAGGGTGCGTCAGTGTTCTCAGCGGCCTGGGGACAGTGGAGGAGAGTGCTTGCACACGCATCCTTACACTGGAGCAGTTACAACAGCCCTGCAGATGTCCGCAGACCTCCCGTCAGCCGGCTCGGCCAGATTGTCTGTGTGCACCCTGAGCCCCCGAGGGCAGGGACAGGTCTCATTCGACGGCATGCCTAGGGCCTGGCGCACCCAAGGCACTTGGTAGTCACCACACAAGTCAAGTAAAAACCCATGTCCCAGCAATGAAAAGATTCGCAGTCTGGGGAGAAGGATGGGGAAAAAAATCATGAGGTTTTGTCTCCTTTGGAATGGTGCCATTGTTGGGACTGATGGGCAGAGAGCAGAGCACGCTTGTCATGTTTGTGCCGTTTCGCGTTCGTGGACACGCACCATGTGGGGGACCCTCCTCTAGGTACAGGATGGCCTGGGTGTCCCCCGCGAGAGCCTGTCCAGTGTCACCACTGGGAAACACATGAAAAAGACTGTTGCCTGGCCAGTGGGGCTTGGTTGAGCATCTTCTCAGGCACCAACAGGTTGAAAGTTCGATTCCCGGTCAGGGCACATGCCCGGGTTGCGGGCTCCAGTCCCAGTGGGGAGCATGCAGGAGGCGGCCAATTGAGGATTCTCTTTCATCGATGTTTCTCTCTCCCTTTCCCTTGCTCTCTCTCTAAAATCAGTAAAGAAGAAAAAAGAGTGTTAGTGCCACGCAGGAGGAAAAGATGAAGGACTAGGAGTTCAGGGCGAGAGCAAGGTTAAGTTTGGTTAGAAAAATGTGGAGCACGAATTTCCTCACTTTGTTTTTAAACTTCTGGTAGCTTCTATGTGACTCCTACTCTGGTTTACATCAGGGTTAAAACAACAACCAGAGGAGAGAGGCCTGGGCGTCCCTAGGCAGGGTGGGAGGGGGGGGTACACCAGGTGGTCCTCGACTTCCCTCTGCAAACAGTCGTCCCCCTCTGCTGCCAGGGCACGGGCTGGAGGACAGAGGCAGAGAGAGGTCGCCTGGAAGGCTGCTCTTGCCCGGTGTTTTGTCACTGGCTGAAGTTCCTGACAGCAAAGGGCAGCCGTGCAGGGTGAGGGCCGGGCGGCCTTGTCTCTGCCCCTCCGAGACTTCACAGCTTCCCAGGCAGGGCTTGCTTCGAGAGTGGAGGCAGTGGGTACAGTCCCAGCTGTCACACCCCTTGCTGGGTGTTGGGCATGCCTTGTCCAGTCTCTAAAAGGAGTGGGTGTCTGGGTGTCTCGGAGCCCCTGTACCCCATAGGTAGGAGCACATTTCTGCTGCACTTATGCTGGCGAGCTGCTGTCCACATGTATGGGGCCCCTGGATCCGACCTGCGTGGGGAGGGCGGGTTGTTGGCAAGGCAGTTAGGAGCTGGGTTAATGATCCATCCTGGCCACGGTGGTCACACTCTCAAGAAACCCTCCTCAGTGCCCAGGTTCAGGAGGGGAGGATGTGCTGTGGGCTTGGTCTGCCCTGTCCATCGGGCCTGGGAGATGGGGTCCCGGCTCCGCTCACCCTCTGGCCAAGGCATAGTTGCTCACCTGCACCCTGGGGTTCCAGCAGCTAAACCTTTCTCTGTCATCTGCAGTAGGAGAAGGTGCTCAAGATCTAATTGTTGATTTGAGTCCAATCCTTAGGATTTTCAAGGTATCCCACCCTTAATGAAAACCAAGCAAACCCTTCCCCATCTGCCCAGTCCCTCTCTGAGCCTGCTTGAAAGGAGAGAATACCACTGAGCCCTTCATGTCCTCTCCCTGTCCAGCATTCTGCCGCCCCTCCACCTCCATCCATCTCGGCCATGCTCGAGAACCAGGGCTGCAGCCAGCGAGCACCTCACCTGCCCTGCCCACCCTGTGTGGCCTGGACACCTCCGCCCCAGGTCAGCATGTCCACCCTCCACGTATTAGCCTTGATTCTTCTTTCCTTCTTTCTCCCCACTCCGTGCACCAGGTTCCTAAGTGCTCCCCATCCCGCAGAGCCCACTTGCCAACTCCCAGCATGCCCCTGGCTGCAGGCAGGTGCTTGAAGAGTGAGTGGCCGCGGTGCTGGCCTCGGCGTCTGCTCAGGAGTCATAGTCCTCCTCCTCCACAGGGACCCACGGCTACCCGGACTGGCCGCCCTGCCCGTGTCGTTTTGTTCACGCCGGAGCCGCCTCTCTGAGCCCCTCAGGCGCCGCTCTGTGGCTCTTAGGGTAAAGTCCACACTCTGCCCTTGGCTGGCAGCACCCACCTCCAGTCCCTAGTGGAACTCTGCTCTCGTCAGCTCCCCCGGTGTTCACGGAGGCCTCCCCAGCACAGGGCCAGGGGAGGGGGGGGCAAGCTCTGCGGCAGTGGTCCTCAACCTTCCTAGTGCCGCGCCCTTGAATACAGTTCCTCATGTTGTGGCGCCCCCCAGCCAGAAAATTATTTTTGTTGCTACTTCGTAACTGTAATTTTGCTACTGTTATGTCTTAGGCGACCCCTGTGAAAGGGTCGTTTGACCCCCAAAGGGGTCACGACCCACAGGTTAAGAACCGCTGCTCTATAGGCTGAGTCCCCTGCCTCCTGCTTCACGCTCTCTGTTCACCCCTCACCTCCAGGCAGTGGCCACCACGTGACGTCACGATGTATCTTTCTGTCTGTTTCCCACCCGCACTGAGAGCTCCTTGAAGACATAGTCTGTGTTTTTCTGACCTTGCGTTCAAGTCCTCCGTTCCCAGCACGCCTAGCGCTGGGATGGCCACGCTGCAGTCAGTCTAGGTGTATTGGAACCCAGCTACAACCATTGGCACACCTGTTGTCTGGCTGCTGTTGCTACACCTGCGGAGCAGAGTAGTTGTAACAGACTTACGACCTGAAAGCTGATGGGATGTACTCTCTGGTCCTTGACAGACCCTCGGTCTGGCCCACAGAAGGTGCTCAGTGAGGTCTTTAAACTGAGCGGTAACAGCTGTGTTTACGGAGCTCCTTGCACAGGCTGGAGCTGCTCAGCTCTCACTCCACCGTCACGGTTAGGCCTCCTGACGGCCCTGCGGGTGAGCAGCCTCTGTTCCTCATTGTGAGACGAAAGAGCCGAGGATTAATAATTTGCTCAGCGTCACAGTTGGTGAGGAGGTGGCCTGGCACTGGACCCGTCTGACTGCCTCCAGGACCGTGGCCTTGCTGAGGAAGAAGACAAACATGGGTGGGGTCACAGGGACAAAGGCGCTGCAGGGAGCGGTGAGA